TAGTGCGGTATCGAGATATGAAGATGCTAAAACCGAGGTTAGTCACTACGATTGATTGCTTTTGTCTTCTCAACTCGCGCTGTTCACGATATGAAAGTTGAATCGAATATCCTTTTCGGCTATACTCTTTGTGGCAACAGAGAATAGAAAATAAAGAAGATGCATGGTATGTCAATGTATCCATATTCTTCAGCTGGTCATGGAAGTGTATTGATGTTGTCCGCTAAAATTTTGTATGATTGAACTCATCTGAGCGGAGGTCGATTGGGGACTCAATAGGTAAGCGGTGGCGCTCAGTAGCAGTATGGAACGTTGTAGCGTTTGGGTTGAGACTTCACCAGTATTCTCATCAGTATAAAAATCCCTGGAGAAGGGACAGTGATACTTGTGGGACATGATTGCTTGAATGTGAGATTATCTCAAGCTTAAACCTGCAGGTAGGTGAACCAATTCTGTGCGCAAAGTATTATATTGTGTTTAACTTTTGGATTGACATAGGCTTTCCTCTTCGGCCACGTTCGTCTTTTGTTATTGTCAACAAGGCGTTCAGAGTGAAAATGAACCTCTCTCGGGGTTGGTCTTGTGATAGAGACCCTGAATGAAGTTTTAGCATCAGGTGTCCCACCCTTCACTCTCATCGTAAATACATGCTAACATTCACTACTTCTCTGTGGCTTAGACTGTGTCATGGCGAGCTTTCAAGCTTAGAGGGGATAGCGATTCAAATATTGTTTCCTCATGTTTATTGATCAGCTGATGTGTATAAGCATAGAGATAGGACGTTTGCAGCAGTCAACGGTGGCACCATTAGCGCTCTCTATGCATACGGTATATGACATGTCTCCTGGTGTGTGGTTAAATGCCTTCTTATTTCAGAATTGGTTGGGAGGTGTGTGTGCACTGCAGCGGAAGAGATTAAGCTATATGTTTTGTAGTGTGCGGATTGTACGAGGTGTGTTCGAATTAATATTGCTCTTAAGCAATACGGATTTATGTTGATACATGTGCGAGACCATGTGATTCCAGAAGTACCCCGCAGCTTGGGAAGTGTGGGTGGTGGTCACTAATTAGCTATTTCATGAACTTAGACTTGCCTAGACCTAATGAGAGAGCTTGTGATTGCAGTGTCTGAACATTTCCACCCAACAGACATATGAAATGCTGAAATAGATATTTAACAAAAGGTCGTTTTGAGGAAAAGTCGACTGGTATGCCTCGTGCATATAATCGTCGCTGGTGTTATAGGGGAATGGAGTCGGTCACTTAGGTATAGCTAGGCATTGCCGCGCAGGGGGGGCGAAGAATTTGTCTGTTCTTTAGCGACCCAGGATCAACCTTTCTGTGTATACCATAGTGTGGGTCAGCGGCAACTCTTGGATATAATAAATAAATAAGGAGGAAGATGGCGGTAACGGTAGCATTTGTGGAGGTGTCTTCCGTGGAACCAGAACTATGGTGCCGACCGCCGGGGCACATCTCTATATGTGTTTGTGGAGTACACTAAGAGGAAACCACAACGATTAGACCAGTTTCAGGTTTTAGTTTTTTCATAAGGTGGGATCATCAGCCATTTCAAGACTATCAATAAGGTTTGCGGCAGACTGTCCTAGGGATTTGAGCAACTACGATACGAGACGTGTCCATTCGTAAGTAGCTCTCACTGGCTCTGCTCTAATCGGCGTCTCTGCGGATAAGTTTCATAACCTCTTCTGTATAATATGAGTGCGTTAATTCATGTGAACCCCTCTTCGATGTATACGAATTTAGCAATTGTTCTGATCTATAGAGGATAGGTGATTACATCGAATCTGATAAGTGTAGAAAATTTTCAGAATGCGGGTTCCTAAAATTGGGAAAGTAGAGGAATTATTTTAGTGGGCGACTTGGGTATACTCGTTGGGTAGGGACCTGCCGATTGGCAGCCCTGGTATTTTTGTTAACACTTATTGTAGCTCGATTATTATTTTTGGATGAGGACTTTTTTGTAGATCTCTCTGTTTTGTGTTATCTGCGGCCTACCTATGCATAGTGTATGTTCAGGGTTGTCTCGAGATCGAAGCGAGGGGATATTCGTAGATGATTAAAATAGACTGCCATTCAGTCGTGCTTTTTGCTTGGACTTTAAATAGTCCTTTCCTGCCCTGGGGTGGCAGAAGGCGCGATGCCTCCCTATATCATTGTTGTGAAGATGTCCATGAATACGCTCATCTCTCTCTCGCGGCCCGTGGACTGCTCGCATCTCTAATAGATGGCTTTGGCGAGGTTAGTAGTTAGGCTATTTCTGAGTAGCATTAACTCAAAGTAATGTAGATTTCCAATTGAATCTTAATCGTGTAGGGATACGTGGTTATTATTTCATCGGGTGGATCTCGATCGTCAAATCCAATAACGAAATTTTGGTGGCTATATGTCGGGTAATTAGTAATTTTATTTTCTTTACCTCCGATATTTTTTTCGCGGGTCCCATCGGCGATCAGTTAATAATCCCAAAACTTTCATGCTTATTTTCACACCATTTCATGAATGTCCCCTAAACATTTTTGAGCTAATTCGGTTATTAGTTTTCATGTTATATTTGAGTGCATTTAGTGATTTCCCTACTTAAGTTTGGGAACAGATAAGTCTATGTAACTCCCCTTATGTGTTAATTAGTATACCTGCGGCATGAGTGAAGTGGGATTAGTGGATTTTATGTACGGTTTGCATTACTTACAATTTCCAAAATTTTCCCTTATTGGAGAAGTTTTAATTTTTTGGTTTGGAGGATGTATTTAATTCTGTCCTTTGGTTCACTTCTGCTTTTTTTTTTTTCTTAGACTCTTTTATTTATTCTCGCCTGCTAATATAGTTGGAAGGGTATGAGGTGCTCATTTTGCTTAATTACATTATATAGGATCTTTATCTCATAAGGAAGAGGTATAGAGTGGGGTGTTTTTGTTAAACACTTAGAGTACCATTATTTTTGTAATCTCTTTTTGTACCTACTATTTTTAGTAGAAGAATTATTCGTAGTTTTTGTCCCGTCGACGTAGCCTATACAGTTGAAGGGTGAAATACGTAAATCTCGGTGTTCTTATTTTTCATCTAGCATTAACGGTAATTATTTAATTTTTTACCGTGGTTATTATTTCTGGTGGATTCGATCGTCAAAATCCAATACGAAATTATTGGAGGTATATGTGGTAATAGTAATTTTATTTTACTTTTACCGCCGATATTTTTTCGCGGGCTCCACTCGGGATCAGTTATAATCCCAAAACTTCATGCTATTTCAATTTCATGAATGTCCCTAAACTTTGAGCTAAATTGGTATTATTTTCATGTATATTTGAGTGCATTTAGTGATTTCCCTACTTAAGTTTGGGAAAGATAAGTCTATGATAACTCCCCTTATGGTTATAGTATACCTGGATGAGTGGGATTAGTGGCATTTTAGTGTACGGTTTGCATTAATTACAAATTTCCAAAATTTTCCCTATATGGAGAAGTTTTAATTTGGTTTGGAGATTATAATTCTCCTTTTTCCTTCTCTTTTTTTTTTTTAATTTTTTATTCCTTTCCAAATTATAGAAGGAGAGGATGCTCAATTTGCTTTAATTACAATATATAATTTACTCAAAATTGAGCTTTTAAATGGATTTTAATTGAAACTTTCAACTGGAAGAGAATTAAGATTAATTTTTTAGTAAAATAACTGCATTAGTCAGGCCATCAAGTCAAGTAATGTATTTGAGTTTAAAGAAATTAAGATCAAAATTGTTAAGAAAATAATAAAAATATAATTAATAAGTACAAAATTGATCACTATTTAAATTGCAATTACTTAATAATACAGAATGGAAATTAGTTTGTTTTAAAAATATCTTTGCAGTTCATACAAAGAGAAAATAAGACGAATTTTAGAGGTTTAATGATAATAATGAAAAGAATATATTTTAAATTAATAAATAACAAAAAAATAAAATTGTATAATGTTATGCTATAAATGATACATATTAAAACAAAATGTCAATTAATAAAATTTGCACATACTTATCTAAAATTTTTTTCCAAATATTCTTGGTTTATTTTTTAGTAAATTGTTTATATTAGTTAGGGACTCAATTAAATTAATATTAAGGATTAAAATATATAAATTAAGAAATAATCTATATTAATTAGGATAATAAATATATTATAGAGATAGGATTTTAAACAAATTGAGCTGATTTGAGATTGGTTTGATAATATGTGATTTGAGCTTGAGTCAAGTTCAAGTAGAGTTTGAGTAAGCTTGATGTGTTCAATTTTCGAGTGCTTGTAGAGTTTGAGTAAGCTTGATTTGTTCAATTTTCGAGTGCTTATTCACAAGCTTATTCAATTAATTAAAATTATAATATTTGATATTCTTTATCTAATTTTGATACATTTTTGTCATCTAAAAAATAATATTTTATTTTAATATTACATATTAGTAGTTATATTGCATGCTAAAATTTTATGTTATATTTAATTAACTTTTATTTTGTAATAAATTTTATAAATAAAAAAAGATGTTTCAATATTAGTATGCCAAGTTGAGCTTATAGGTAATCGAGCTTCTTCATGGACATTAATCGAACTTTAATATATGTTTTGAGCTTAATTTATTTTATTAAAGAACAAGTTTTGATCGATCTTTTATCAAGCCGAACTTTAATAGTTTAAATTGTTTTACAATATTATGTAGTCATGATTAAAATTAGAAATCAACTTAATTATAGCGATTATAAATATTTTTTATTATTAAAAATATTTTTAATATTAATCTTGTAAATATAAATCATATTAATATCGGTTTCCATATATTTGTATATTTATCTATATTGTAAATTACTGGTCTATATTGAAAATTAAACATAAAAACTTTCTATCGGTGAAACTAATTATTATTATTATTATTATTATTATTATTTGAAAAGTAATTGCTGCATTTCTTTGGCTTTATGAGCAAGGCTTGACTTGATATGTTACATGCATAGGCATGTCACCTTTTTATGTGGTAGAGGAGGAATATATGCCCTTGGAGCCGTGGTAGCCAATTACAAAGGAGACCAACACGGACGTGACTCATATTTGGACCTCTTCCTTGAGGTAATGTCAAACATCAAATTTCTAACTTTCAGTTTTCAGCTTTCAACCATCATTTTTTTTTCTTTCTAATTTTAATTATTTTCCTACTCCAAATTGTTCATTCATTATCTTAATCAATTAAAAATTGGGGGAGGGGAACAGGAAGTGCTCAAATGAGCTTGATTTCATTTAACGTCTATATACTTCGATAGTTTATTGTATATGTAAATTTTTTTTTAAAAAAATATTTTAACAAGTTATCATAAACATTAACACCACAACCGAATCAATATTTGTTGCTAATATTATCAAATTCAATCTTTTTCTTAGTTATTCTCGGAATTATTAACTATCAAGTGATAGTGATTGATCAACTATTTAATTTTCTTTTTATTAAATTCAATGATTATCATCAGATGTCTTGCCATGATGAAAAAGTAAGATCACTGCGTATATATTTCGAATCATATTTTTTGATTATGCATACCTTAATTTTTGTATAAAGGTGACAGAATAATGACCCAAGTTGAAAGTTAAAGAGGGATAACGCCCTAAGCATATGCCCATCTTTTTCCATTTCCACTAGGATTTCAATTAGACAAATTATCAATGATTTGATCGTAAATTTATGGATTTCTACTTTGTGAAAGGGAAGTGGGGGCTCCTCTTATTTTAGAAAGGGAATCTAATTGTGGTTTTACTGAATGCGGCCCCATGCATGCTTTATCTTCTTGTCCCCATGCATGCTTTATCTTCTTGTCTAAGTGTCTGTTTTGTTTAGTATGTGGTGAGGATAGATTTAGATGACCAGTGTGAAATATCAATGTCAGTGTCTTGGCAAATAGGAAATGGACACAATTTCTTCCGTTTAACGACAAATTCTATTTATTTGGTAAATTATTATACACATCTAGGAAACATTATTAGCAATGCCAACTAATGTATACTCAATTTGTTTCTTTCTGTAAATCTACACCTGCTAAAAACGTTTATATATTGGAATTTGAATATTTGGTCACTTATGAGGTATTGAGATATTATTGCAGCTCATGCCATCGTATGTAGTTATCCCATTGCTTATGATATGAATTTTGGTCCTCAACGAGACTGTTTCAAGAGATATGACCCACTGTACATTGGTTCATAATGGATAAAAATTATTGATTAATCCTGGCCTTTGTTTAACGACTGGGGCCTGTTGGCCCGAAATTCAGAGAATAAGAAGCACCGCTCAAAGTGGTGCAAAAATGGTTTAAAAATCATTGATAAAACTAATTAGGAGGGGGTTTGCATTAATTCTTGAATATTTGCACTCTTCATATTTTTTTTTTCTTGAACAATGGGTCATATAATATATTTTAACACATTATTATTCTTTTTGTTAGTTTGTGAGGATGTTTCCATCCAACTAAGCCTACCTAATTCCCTCGCTTTAGTTATCGTTGCAAGTTCAGTAGTTCAGTAATTGAATATTCGTAATATATAAATCAAGGATTTTGATCCTGAAAATCCTTGATCCTTGTTAAAATTTTGAATATATAAACAACAAATAGCTCCAATTTGCTTGAATGACTATATGAATTACAAATATTTTCTTAATTTGATGATATCTTTGCGTAATTTTTTATAGGTAGCTCATGAGCGAGCCCTCCCAATTGGACCTGAGGAAGGCGGTTTTGGAATGTCATATGAACTTATGTATGGGCGAGCTGGTTTCTTATGGGCAGCTTTATTTATAAACAAGTATCTTGGGGAACAGACATTGCCGAGTGAGATTCTGCTGCCAATTGTTGATGCTGTGTTAGCGGGAGGCAGGGCAGGAGCATCTGATAATCCAGAATGCCCATTAATGTATAGATGGCATGGTACAAGATATTGGGGTGCAGCCAATGGCCTTGCTGGAATCTTGCAAGTGCTACTTCACTTTCAACTCTCAAATGAGGATGCTGAGGATGTTAAGGCAACTTTAAGGTACATGATGAGTAAAAGGTTCCCTCGTAGTGGAAACTACCCTTCAAGTGAAGGAAACCCTAGAGACAAATTGGTGCAGTGGTCTCACGGTGCCACTGCCATGGCCATTTCTCTGTGCAAGGCATCTCAGGTAATTAAGTAGTGGTCTGTTGAGTTTATCTAGGACATGAGATTAACTGCAAAATTATTTGCACAGGTGTTTTCGAACGATAGGGAATTCCGGAGTGCAGCCATAGAAGCAGGGGAAGTTGTATGGAAGAGTGGGTTAGTGAAAAAGGTAGGCCTTTTTGATGGTATTGCTGGAAATGCATATGCTTTCCTTTCGCTTTACCGTCTTACAGGAGAGAGCATATATGAAGAGCGAGCAAAAGCATTTGCAAGCTTCTTATATCACAATGCAAGTAAATTTTCAACCGGAGCTGACCATGTCTACTCGCTTTTTCAAGGACTTGCTGGAGTTGCTTGCCTTTGGTTTGATATTCTTGCACCTGAAAGGTCTAGGTTTCCTGGATATGAGCTTTAGGTTAAGTGAGGAGGAAATTTTTCTACTGAATTTTTAGTATGAAGTGTAAACATAACATTGTGTATGTGCAGCCAAGATCTCTAATTAAAAGTGTAGAAGAGACCTTGGAATGTAGTTTTTATCCCAAGCCTTTTCTTTCTGAAAAAATTTGGTTCGAATCACATGATGTCCATATTTAGATTGAGAGTGACATTCAGGAGATACATTCTTAGTAGTGATATGACTACAAGTTTTTGAAATCTGTGTTCAAAATCAATAATTTTGCCTAAATCGAGAGATAATTGATTGTAAGGATCTTTCTAATTAATTGTTGCTTTAGGTTGCATGGATTCACGATACAAATATGGAGTACAGCAATTTTCAAAAAAATAAAAAATAGAACATGACACGTTTTGGAGTGCCTTATATTAAAAATATATATATAATTTATTAAAAAATTAAATATGTGAATAACTATCCATGACAAGTTATAAATATAAAATAAAAATTCGTAATTTTCTTAAATCCTTAACAGTAATATCAATATTAAAGATCAACTTCATTTTCGACTCATTTAAAAATGAATTAGCAATTTCAAGAATTTCAACATATTTAAAAGAATCAAATTGATCTGGTTTAATGCTTTATATCTTTTCTATATAATATTATGGACTTCTTCTTGATAAAAGTCAAAGACTACTACAAATAAAAATCACTTTTTTTTTAATTTGGCAATAAAATTATAAACCCTGCATAATAATTTAGGATTTTTTTTCTTATATATAGTGTAATTTTTTATTTTAAATATATATATTTATCTAATTTATGTTTATTACGTCGATTTAAATTTTTTTTGCTAACAAATTTATCTAGAAGGTCAACAAAATTTTTATAAGCATTCAGAGGTGTCTTTGAAGCATCTGAAATTAATAAAATTAAAACAATAGTCGGACACATTTTTTAAAGTGTCCAAGACATATCCGAAGAGTGTAGATATCCGACATGAATAAGATATCGGTGCATTAGACCTTTGAAGGTGTCTATGCATCGTAGCCTAAAGCGAATAGTTCGGATTTGAATCTTGACAAAAAGACATTTAAAAAAAAAAAAAAGACATATAACTAATCGACCTTGAAAAAGAAGAAGAAGAATTGATATATATATTTTGATGTTGTCACCACGAAGCACAGCTCAAATAAGATAAAATTTTAGTTACCCATTGAACAAAAACACCCATTTTCTACATAATTGTTTTTATGAACTCCCATTCCATCATATCGTACATTTTGCTCATCTTATGCTGCAACACCCAGCTTCCTTCGCCTTTTTTTTTTTTTTTTTTAATAATAATAATCGTAAGTTAGCATTTGGTTGATTACTAGCGCTCTCGCATGGATCTCATCTCTGTTTACATCAGTGATGGTTCCCAGGTGCATGCGGTATGTCTTTCGGACTTTGCAATGATATACTCACTGCAATTTCACGAGAAACATAATATCTGGCAATTATATAAAATAGGAAATGGAACTATCGCGTTGTTGTGTGTTATCTGTTGACGCTTCTTAATATATGTGGAAATATCAGGTAGGGTTTATGTATGTTTCATCTATCATAATGAATTATGAAAGACTCATCCGTGTGTGAATTTAAACTTTGATAATCCTCATCGACAAGTGGGAGTGGTATAAGTGTGTATTAAAGATTGATATAAGATCTCCGTTACATTTATACTTAGAGTCCTTGTTACAGTCTTTCGGCTTTTCATGGGCTTGGTAGTATCTCCAATGATCGATAAAGTTATTATAACATGTGGATATCTCTCCAACTTCATGTTCTCTGAGACCTCTTGTAGATAGTAAGACATGAGGGGTATTATCGCAACTTGTGTCAAGAATTGGTGTGGCATCCTGAGATCGTATTCAAAAGCAAAGAGTAATAAAAGTGATTGGTCTCTGGTGTACATCTCATATACATTTGGTATAATTTGGGTATTCTTCCTATATGCGTATGGGTGATACCCGTCAATTGTCATGACTTCTTTGTCATTGTAGTGAGAGACGCTCAAAAGCACTTCCTGACTAGGTACTATATAGATATTACACTATTCATGCTGTCATGTTGTGTTTTATGTGTTATGCGCTCGCTCTCCTACTATACCTTATAATAAAGACTCGTGTTACATCAATTAATGGTTACGTGGATTCTCTCTCAATTGCTGACCTTTGTCTGGAACCTATGGGCACCTCGTTTGTCTCTTGTTATAGTATAATGGTGTGTCATGTAATTAGTTGCTATATATTTTGTAGTTGATTACTTATCATTATAGGTGTTATCTAAATTTCATCATTGATTACCCGTATGGTCTTTATGCATGTTTTTCGAATTGATTATTGCAGATAGATGGTTGTTTTTATTCGACTTAGAGAGCTAAAACTCTTTCATATCCTAGATGTCTGAAGTAGAGGTGTTACCCATTCACAAAGAGCATTTTTTGTGCTGATAGAAAGCATTCAAGAGGATGTGATTTTGGAATTGCTAGCATTCATGGGTTCCAGATTAAACTATATAATGTAAACTTTGTGGTCTTTTTTATTCGGGTGCTAAGCACGTTTTTCTCCTATATAGTGGCCTCGCTTCCTGTTGGGCTAGGGGTAATTCTCTGATTAGGATTTGTTGTAGCCAGTGATTTCGCTTGATCTAACTGGTATGCATACTCTCGAATATATGTGTCGGTTGCGATGCAGTGTAGCCCTCTCTTTGAATATTGGGTGTATTTTCAAGTCTTTGGTGGCTTCATGCATCGGTAGTTCTTCTTCCACGGTATAGATACGCGCAGAAATAGCTTCGGATTTGATACTCTTGACAAAAAGACATTTAATTATTAGAGATCAAAAAAAAAAAAACGGACATTGTATATAATTACTAACCTACGCAGCTGTTGTGTTGGACAAGGGTTTAGATGGAACGTAGAATGATTTGTGTGTTTTAGTACTTTATCGTTGGTTTTAATGATGTTGATGTCACCACGTAAGTCACAGTCCTACTTAGAGTATACAGATATGTGGAATTAAGCATTGTTATTTTTATATGCCCATGGTGAGACAAAACACTCATAATATTCTACATATTGGTATTTGATGTCACTCCGCTCATTGCGCCCCATCTACTCGTATATAATTATTTCTATTGCTGCATTTAGTGCTCTGCATACTACCTAGCTTCGCGTGTCTGCTCGGCGCGGTGTTTTTGTTGTTTTTTTTAAAGTGGTCTATTAGTCATTCCATAACGTCGCATGATTAAGTCGTTGCTTTTACAGCCTTCTCGATTATTATCATGCCTAATTGGTCTTGGAATTATGCGTTACCTCAGAATAGCAAGTTGTGTGTTTCTTCTCATTCTAGATCTGGCACTCTTGCCGTGTCTAAACTTCTCTCAGGTCTAAATCTCTACACTAATTCGTAGACGGTTTTCACCTGAGGGAGATATAGAGTATATTAGCTTATGCAATTTGTCTGTGCCAACTCTCGACTAAGGTGTTTTAATGATATGTAATATTTATGAGATTTCATCGACTCTCTCTAGCTCTATTATGTATCCCATCTTGATTTAAAAAACTTAAACTTCTATACACAGATTTAGTTTAATAGAGCTAGGTGATTAACTTAAATGACCAGATTTTATGAATAGAGTGGAAAAACAGGGTGATATATTTGTGTCCGTATAGCATGATTAGTGGTGAGTATGGTCAGTATCAGTGACTCTTACCGCGTGTTTTATCCGGAAATATGCTCACAGCCTCTGTTTAATATGTTATATTATGATTCTTCGACCGTTATGTTATAGTGTTTGTGGTTGCCGCCCTGCCCTCTATTAATCGTGTGTGTTAAAACGAGGATTACTGGTCTACTTAGGATATACTTTTAATGAGTTAGTGTTGTTTTATATGGCTCTCTGTTTAGATTAAATTGTTTTTTTTTTTTTTTTTTTAAATAATAATAAATACCGCATTAGAAGCTATACTGATATTATCGGTTAGCGATCAGCAATTATGCTCATCAGTCAACCCTTGCGTCAACACAGTCTAAACCAACTATACTATCACCTTGAGAAGAGGTAAATAGCATTTGAAAATTCAAAATAATGTAAAATAATTTCATCACCCTAGCCATTATCCCAGAATTAAACTAAATTTAACAAATTAATGAGATAGATAACTTAAACCAATTTTATAAAAAGTAAAACAATTTGTTCCATGAAATGGTTATTCTATTCCGCGAATCAAACCACGCCTTAAAATTGAGATTCTTCATCTCTTAAGGTTGCCCATAAATGTTTGTTAAACTTCTTCAATTAAACTTCCATTTTAAAAGCTAGTATTAAATTTAGTTTGCATCAGTTCAAGCGTAACATAAACAAATAAATATATAATGTCCAAGATCAATATATTTAAACTTTTTAATAATAATTTTATAATCGCTGAATAATAAATTTGATTCTAAACTTTGCTGTTTATACCATGATCTTTCATTTTTATATATAAATGAAATGTAAAAATATACATGATAGAAAATATAATTGTTTCACTTTCTAAATTGACTTTAGAAATAGATGGGAATTGAGAGTTGGATTTAGCTAATTAAATCCAAAATTGCAGTGTCGTTTCCAAGTCGGCTAACAAGTCAAATTCCCCACTTACAGGGAAACATAACAATCACCCACAGTTTTTATAATTGCAAATTTTGATGTGGCTATGGAACAAGCAAGTGTCGGTTTTGGACAGGAACTTCACTTGCACGCCAAACAACAATTTGGGTCTATTTGGGCCCACAAATGATCTTCTCAGGCAGTGGACCAGCCCACGCATTTACTCTTGTCCTATTGTATTGTATCGTGTTGATACATACGACACCATTAATAATCGTATTTTATAGTGCCATAGCCTTTCTTTTTCCATTATCATAGATTTTTTTTTTTCTTTTCGGTCATCAAAAAGGAAAGTTTTAAGCTCAATTTAGTTTATCTGTTCGTACCAGCTCGTAGCTGATAAAGGTTGATAATAATTAGTTACTATTGAATGATAATTGTTAGTTGATGAATATTGGATTTTGATAAAAATTTTTATAGCGGTTGATGTTAAAGCATAAAATGACGAATAATGATATACTTGTTTTTACATATTTTGATGTATAATGTGTATATTTTTTGAAATTTTTAACTTTTAAGGTAAATATGTTATTTTTTATTTTCATATTATATAAAT